AACAATCATGTGATGGCGGTTACAACTAGGAGTGGAAGAGGCGGTGATGTGCATTCCTCGATTGAGAATCAAGTTGTGAATGATGAAATTGAGTTGCATGATGATGATGCACCTTTGAATGTTGACAATGTGGTTGAACCAATAGTGACAAATGATGTGCGGGTTGATATTGATGATGAGGCCGGGGTAGAGACTAAAGATACTGTGAACCCGTCTAGGGAACACATTATTGATATACCCGAGCTGGCGGTGCCCAAGGCAAAGGCACCCTTGCCTAGACCACCTCCACCATATCCTCAGCGGTTAGCAAAGCAAAAGAACGACAATCAGTTCAAGAAATTCATAGACATGATGAAGAGCCTCACAATCAATGTTCCTTTAGTGGAGGCACTTGAACAAATGCCTGGGTACGCAAAATTTATGAAGGATTTAGTCACCAAGAAGCGTTCTATGGAGTGTGAAACAATAAAAATGACGCACCAAGTTAGTGCGATTGTGCATTCTATGGCCCCGAAACTAGAAGACCTTGGAGCTTTCACTATTCCTTGCACTATCGGAAGTGCGGACTNGTTAAGTAGATTTTTCTTTAAGATTTTTTAGGGCCTTTAGGACTCTCTTGGGCTAATATGGGTGAGGGCAAGAATGCATCCCGTAGTGTACATACCTGCAAATAACTAAAACGAACTTGAGGGTGCGACGTCTAGGCTCACTTGTAGACTCTTAATCTTATGCCTTAATTTTGCACACCTTGTCTTACTTGAACGCTCACGTGAGTGTGGTTGACAAACTAATTCGGAATGAGTTACATGCCAAGTGTGTGTGAGGTAATACATGTATTCTGTGCTTGCATGCGATACCTAGAACTTGCCTTGTGTGTGTGCAAAGCGAAATAGAAGTTGTTTGGTCTTAGAGATGATTTAGGCATTTCTTTGTGTAGCCTATATAATTATGAATCCACCTGTACATATTACCATAGTTAACCCCTTCGAGCCTGAAGCCTGTTTCTTTGATAACCTTACAATAACCTACATCCGTGTGTTTGAATAGCTTGACTTTTTGAACCTTTACCTCCTAGAAGCACTTGAATCGTTAAAGAACATATAAAAGTCAAAGTGTGGGGTGGTAATGGAATGGGAAAAGGAAAATCAGGAAAATACTTGAATGGTGCAATGGTTCTTAAAAAAAATTGAATAATAGAAGAAAGACCTTGTAAATAGGTGGTCCTAAAATATTGAATGGCAAGAAAAAGCCAGTTGCACCTAGGAAAAGTGGGGGGTAGCTTATGAAACAAGTGTGGAAGAATGACTGGGCTGAACATGGAAATTGGAATAAGGGGAACTATTGTATTAAAAGTGCTTAGGGAGGTTAGTCACTATACCAACCAAATGAAGCCCTATTGATCTTAGACTGAACAACTCGATTAGTAGAGTATTACACTAAGGGCAAGCTTATGGTGTATCTGTGTGGCATGTGAATGTTCTTTGCTGAGAGTGAGTGAATTCGTTCTATCTATAGTTCTTTGTTGTTTGATTTTATGTGTGTGGAACTTCTCTTAAAAATGTGATGTGAGGGCATGTAACTCCGGAAGAAAAAGCAAGTCTTCACCTCTGTTTAGAGTACATAGAGTCAGCACGAGTGTGGCATGGCATTAGAGTCTTCACCTGAGGTGTGGCTGTTGCACTGCTTAGGTTGTTCTTTCATAATGGCGGGTGTGACATAAACAGGGTAATGCATCAAACGATTAGGCCTAGAAGTGTGGTTCAACTTGCTCGAGGACGAGCAAAGATTTAAGTGTGGGGTGTTGATAATAGGTAAATTAGACTATAATTAGGCCCTAAAGAACCACATTTTTGTATAGCTTTTACGGTAAAAAGTGATAACAAAATGCTCTGATTAGTGCTTTTCATGCTTTGCAGGCTATATCCAATAAAAGAAGTCTGTGGAGTACTTTTGGGATCAATTACGGAGAAAAGGAGGCCAATCATACAATATCCACAAAGTGCACTAAGCGAAGGGACAAAACCAGAACTGAAGCTGTTCTGCCGCTGTCCGGGAGTAACCGCGGTAGGACAGGCAGAACACTGCTGCAGATTCTGAAGGGCACTCTAGCCGCGGTCCTGGCGTAACCGCGGTAGGACCGCGGCAGGACGTGTAAACTTCAGGGACCACAGTGCAAAACACGGAATTTTAAGCCCTAAACCCTATATTAAACGAAGGAAGCCGGACAAGAAAGGGGAGAATGATTTTTGGAAGTGAAAAGCATCAGAAGGAAGGGCAAGAGGCAAGGAGGATCATTGGGCGTCAATCTTTAATCTTCTTCTTTGTTCTTTTACCTTTGAATATGAATTCTTTTGTGATTTTTGTTATTTTCATGAGTAACTAACTTTTCTAATCTAAGGTTTTGGTGGAATCCGTTGGGGATGAATTTATTGTGATGTTAATATAGTTTTGATTGGTTGTTAATCTCTATTTGTTCAACTACATTCTTGTTGTAAGTTGATTGAAGGGCCCTCAATTAGCTGTGCCTACTTATTATGTATCTACTTGAGAGAGAGTGCATATTTAGGTAGTTGTTTGAACAACATCACTCCCGGAGTATAGACGAGAGTCATAACCGAGGGTGTAGAGGTTGGATTAGAGATAACGATACCTCGGGTGCAATCTAAGTGAACTGTAATGCGAATCTAGCTAGCGTAGCTTGAGAGAGTGCGTCTAGTAAATTATCATAATTGCTTGAGAGAGATTTATGATAGCTGGAGAGTTCATGATTGATAAAGGAAACTAAGTCAACGCTATAAGAAACATACAACCAAGAAAATCAACAACGGAAAAAACCATTACCTTAGACCTATTCCAATTGTTTACAAATCAAGCATAGTTAATTTTTAGCTGTTTATTTACTTTCAGTTTTAGTTGTTAGAATTACCATCAACTGTTATTTACAACGTTTGGGGAAGTTGATTCTATAGAATTTAGTAAGTCTAACAAAAGTAATTGATAGGTTAAGTCCCTGTGGGTTCGACTCTGGGCATAAATACTCAGATTATATTTGCAACGCCCGCGTAGTCTTTTGCGAGACTCAGTTGAGCGTGATCAAGCCGCAAGGGAACTTAAGTGATTACAAGTGCACCAAAAAGACTTGTATTGTTCAAGGTGTCAACTTATCTATATAACCATAAATACATATACAAAATTTCTATCGAAATTTACAATGTCCGATGACCCTTTCAATGATCAATGTAGGATTTATTGTGGAAAAGACTTTCCGATACCACTAAACTAAAAGCCTTTGTTGTCAACTATCTTGGTGAAAATAGCACGGGCTAGTTAGTTTTCGGACTGACAATTAAAAAATAGCCACTATTTTGTTGCAACACGGAAAGTTCTAGCATAATATATTGGAGATTGGTGCACCTGTGTATGAATTTGCAGCATATTATGCTGGAACTTCAGCACATGGATAGTTTCAGCATAATATATTGGAGATTGGTGCGTCTGTGTATGAACTTCTAGCATATTATGTATACTGGAACTCCAGCAATGGAAAATTCCAGCATAATATATTGGAGATTGAAGCACCTGTGTATGAACTTCCAACATATTATGTATATCCAGTATATTATGCTGGAAGTTCACATGAAAAAAATTTGAATTCCAGTATATTATGCTGGAATATTTTCGTATTATGAACAATGTTTTAGTTCAGATTTATCTTTACATGAAAAGTGGCTAAATTTTAATTATTTTTGAAACTGTGACTATTTTTCAATTATCGCTTATAAATCTGGCTATTTTTGAATTTCACCCGATAAATAATTTACATTATAGTTAGGGAGAGTGGGCAGGGGGGTTGAGAGTTGGAGAAACATTACATTTCAAAGACACAAATGCTTCTAAAGAGAAGAGTGAATCAGAGAAAAGCTTCCAATAGTGCCAAAGCACTAATGCTTTTACAACATTAAAGCCAAATCCAGGAATCTAACAGTGCCTTCCTTTCTCCCTACAATAGTAGCCAACCTCTTTTTACTTTTCATTATTCTTGTTGCTACTGGAATCAAATCATTATAGTCGTTTACTACAAAACTCAAAGTCTTAGAGACTGAAAGAAGCTTCTATTCATAGGCCTTGAGGCCCTTAACCCTTTCTTATTATTAGGAGCACTCTCCATCATCACACTAAAGAGTTGAATCATATTTCCCCCTTTCTTTTTTACATTTTTAGGACCTGTTTGGTTATAGATTTTGCCAAAATAAACTTAAATTTTATTTGGCAAACAAATTTTATCCAAATCAAATATTTCAAAATAAATTTGAAAATCTATAGCCAAACGCAACTTAATATCTTTTTCACAACACAAACAATCAAAACATAGTTCAAAAAAGTAAAAAAATATGTAGGGTTTTGGCCCATATTGTCTCCCTTTGTTGAGTAACAAAAGAAGGTTCCATTCACTCTCTTTTATGGAACAAAAGACTTGTTCTTCTTCTGCCTTACAGCTACTTGTAGTCATTTCAAGAATTTTCATCATACTTTTTTACTTTTTACTTTTTGTGATTATTCGAAATAGTCTTCAAATATTACTAATGATAAACAATTCGTATTAAATTGAATTAAAAAATAGGAGAGAGTAAAAACTTGTCCCATAGTAATAATACTAATAGATTCTCATGCTTGGATTGTTTTTGTGGGAAATCATGTTTCATCAATCTTTTTTCCTTCAAAATTTTCCTTTTTGGGTTCTTGAAATAAAGACATCTTGAGGGGTTCTCACCAACTACAGCTGCAACTTAGAACTTACACATCACAAAAAAAAAAAAAAACAAAACGA